CAATCTGAGCCATCCCACCCTTGACTTCGTCTCCCAGCTTTGCAATATCCCCGGCATCCATAGCCCTTCTCGCTTTGGCAGCCTTCGCAAAAAGTGCCGGTGCCTCGAGCATATCTAGTATGCCCAGGCCACCTAAAAGAGCGAGGAATATTTCCCCAGCTCCCGCATCCTTCACACTCACGACGCTATAAATACCGAATCCGGCGTCACCGGCTGCACCGATGGCTCGTAGCGTAACTGCGACCGAGGTCAATTCAACAGAGTCGGCGAGCTCTCCGACGCCGGGAATGAGGAGGAGGAAAGCAGTAACGAAGAGCAGAATAGCTTCTTCGACCTGTTCCTTGTGATATTCCTCGCCGATGCTTTCGACGCTCTTCATGCTTGCGATAGAGTTCGAGACCATGAGGACGAGGAGGGATGCGCCGTCCACGACATCAATGGTGTCGCCGAGGTACAGGTCGCTGTCTGCCAGTGTGGCAATGGTGGTAGATTGTTCCTCGAACGTCGTGATATTGGGGAGCCGAGCCGAGATGATGTCCCTGGGATTACTGACGGTGAAATCTGGCGGGAGGGTCGGCATGCCAATGTTCCTGCTGCCGCTGCATATCATCGGCTGTGAAGGGTCTGGACTACTGACGCATTGCGATGCATCAATCTCCCACACGAGCTGGTCTGGTGAAATTCCTGTGGTGTCTTCAAGGTCCTCCAGAAACCCATCCTTGTCTGTCGCTGTCCAATAGAAGATAGCGTAACCTGTATCCTTTGGATTGGATGGGCACGAAGAGCTCACATTCTTGCCTTCCGGCTCTTCGCTCCGCGGGACCATACCCTGAGAGGTACATTCGAAGTAATTCGAGGCATTGGCCTTCAAGAACGCCTGAAGAGACCGCGGGAACTGCTCCCTGACCGCATCCTGATACCAGCCGAATTTCTTGTCGTAGTCCGTTTTCATGACGTCGTGGTACGCCGAGACTGACGAGGAGAGATTGCTCTTCAACGCTTGGATCAGATACAAATTCATGCATTCCGGATCGATTGAATCGGCAGAGGCTTCGACATCGTCCAGACTGGTGAAGGCTTGATCGCAGTTGGGCAGGGTCAGTGGAGGCAGCACTGTGCCGTCTGGGAGCTCAGCGACAAATTCAGTCAGGTCAATCGCCCAGAGACTTGTTCCAAGGACGGTTCTGTTGTACCACCATTCGGTAATCCTGTTGTTTCTCTCGTTGTCGTCCGTGTAGGCCACCCATGTGCCGTTTGCCGAGTAGGAGATCGTGGATCGGCTAACGTGGTCGAAGTACGTGGTGATATTCTGATCACCTTGCAGCCAGTCGTTGATCTCTGCGTTTGCAATGTAACCCGGGGTCTGCGTGCATTCTCCAGGCATAGCCGCTGACTCTGGCCCCTTGAACTTGCACTCCGGTCCATAGCAGGATGGGTCAACCATTCCAAAGGACCGGCCGTAGCTCGCCAGACCTGCGACGATCTTGCTGTTGGGCACCCCGGCCTTGGTGATCATCGATAAAGAGTTGACAATCTCCGTGTAGTTGACGTGTGACCGGAGACAGCCACCGCCATCACAACCATCAACCGACCAAGCATTGTCCCAGTCCCACTGGCCGTGCAGGTCGTAGGTCATGTACACGATGTAGTCAACTACGGACGAGATATTCGCAATCGGGAAACCTTTGAGGTACCAGTAAGAGGCAGGAGCTGCGATGGAGAGTGTCTTCTCAGAGGAGAGTTTATCCCGAACCTCTTTCAAAAATTGAAGGTATCGATCACCATCACCGGGATCGCCTGCGGGAATGCCAGGGATATCAGGGGCCCCTGGATACTCCCAATCAAAGTCCAGTCCGTCGAGGTCATTATCATCAGCGAACTTTGCGACATTTGATGCAAACAATGAACGCTGTTCATCGGTGACACCCTTACGGAAAATGGCGTAGGAGTCCAAATCCGTGGAAAATGACCATCCACCAAACGACAACACCTTTGGCTTTTTGCCTGCGGATTTAAACTTTCTGAACTGTTCGAACTCACTTTGAACGCTGGAAACGTCCACCTCGAATGATTCAGTGATGTTGGCGAACGCAAAATGGATATGATCCCAAGCTTGCGAAAATGTTGATGAATGGCTTCCTTGTTGACCCCCCCATTGAACTGTGTTATTGATAGCTGTCACATCCAGGTTCAAGCATGGTCGGCTGTTCTGAAACGCTTCATAGTAACCAACTAGCACAGGATGGTCATCGAAGCCATTCCCGTCAAAAACGATGTCAGTACCGCAGTTTGAAATACACCCATTGGTGCCGTCCTTTGCCGTTCCAGGTGCGTCAGTAGTAGACTGCTCGACTTGTCATTATGGCTCAACGAAGACAGTAAACATGAAGCAAAGTGAGACACGTACGCTTGTTTTTGTGCAAAACTCCGCAGTAGTACCGCATTGTCTATCAAGAAACACCGGTGTCAGATGAAATGATGAAAAGGAAGGCACAAGTACTTACCCCCAAATATCACAGCACGCATTGAGAGGGCAAGGATTCAGGCTTTCGATATCATCCCAATTATCCGGTCTCTTAGTCCCAGGTTTCTGTGGACCGCATACGGCGTTCTTCAGAGTGGATGGCATTGGTGGGTCTCCCTTGCTGACACAAATATTTGCTGTTTCAGAAGGATATTTGAGTCCACTGATCGGTTCCACAAACGCAGGCTGGGCTTGTTATGCTTACCTCCAGCTTGAATGTTATCACATCCCGTCCACCCCCACGACTTCTTATTCCACTCCTCGATATCATCAACCGTGATACTCTTAGCAGCGGCGATCTTACTACACCCGTCGTTGTTCTGGACGTTATACGTTGCGCATGTCCCATCTGCATTCGGCTGGGGAGAATAGTCCGGAAGCGTACCGGCAGAGCAGCAAACATGCTGCCCAGCGAGCAAGGAAGAGCACAACGTGCTGCTCGGGTTGTATTTGGTGAAGTCGGCAGGAGATATCCCGCATCGGCTTGCGAGCTTGCTGCAACTGTCGCCGTCGTTGACTTGGATGGCGGTACATGTTGCTCGGCGGTGCTTTTCATGAAGCAGTCCCTTTCCGTGTGAATGCTTATGGGCACGTCGGTGTACGCTAGTGCCGTTGCCACCGGGGATAGGACCGTCGTTCTGGCCCTCATCGACGACCTCACCCACTGAGATCGTGGAGGTTGAACTCCCGCTGTATCCAGAAACACATTTCCCTGTATCCCACGCCGCAAGGGCCTCTCGCACGGCGCTCAGGGCTCGCGAAGAATCTGGGCTTGCTTCAGCGATAACACCAAGCGTGTAAGCTGCCGCACGGTCACTCTCGCAGACCTGCATCATGACACCGGATTTGTTTAGTTCTCCCTGTTGGATCTTGTTCAGGAAGAGTCCTAGAATGCCGTCATTGTCGCTACCTTTCTGTATTTTGGAACCAACGAATGCTCCAAGGACAACCCCGTTCGAGTACCCAATGGCAATAGTGGCATTTTCGCTGGATGGGGCATTCAATTGCGACTGCACAAGCTGAGCTGCGTGCCCCGCGTGGGATGTATACCGGCTTGTTTCCTCCCCTCGCCACGCGGTCTCTACCTGAACATCTTTGTTCAAGTAGCGTGAAGAACTTGCATTTGGTGTACTCGCAACTTTGGCCTTCGAGGTAGCACTGCTGTACCCGTTGTTTGTTGTCGAACAGGCATACAGCGGCTGATGGGGATTGAGATTCGTAGTGCTATTTGGAAAGCCAACCATCAGGTTGAGGAGCATTGGTTCTTTGCACGACTTAAGGATTCGAAGGTTGGGGTAGAAGTCCCAGTCATTGGGGTTGGCACTGTCACATATTGACGGACAGGCGTTCCATTGGGTGGCAATGTAGGGGTCTGTCACGCGAACACTGGAATTGAAAGAAGCTGCTGCGGCCAGTGCAGCAACTTGAATCAAGATGCAGAGATATGATAACAGGGCCATGTTGCTTCCCATGAGACTTCAGTACATGCCGTGCGGCTGGAAGGTCTCCGATTGAGGGAACAGGAGTGGGAATACAAGAAAGAGGATATCCTCGGAGAGAAGCTGAGGATTGGAAGGCTGGGTGATTGCAGAGGGCCTATAAGTAATCCTTTCCGAGAGGAAAGAGCCTTGCGATATTTACAACGTGTGGAGAGGAAGCCAGGTTCTAGTCCTGCCATGACCATTGTCATGAGAGCGTTTAGCAGATAATTACTAGTAACGAACTAGATGCTAGATACTAGGACGGACCTCCGCGAAGCTAAACGATACACCATAGATTGGGACACGGGACATGTCTTACTACGTCGTGGTAGTTGAGATACTGGTTACTCTCGTCTCAAGTGACCTTGTATGATACGACTTGCCCACTAGTAAGCCGACGTCTCGCCCTATTTTGAAAATTGGACCCTACTAGACCCCTGCCTAAGCTCGTCGGAAATGAAGTTCTTGGCAGTGTCTGGCGGGCGTCGCCAATCGTTCCGCGGTTCGGCTGCCTGCTCCACCACCGCTAACTCACAAACGACGGGTGATGGTCCCTTGGCGATGGCTTACCAGGGCACGGGCTGATTTTCTAGCGGCCCCTGCGTAGAAATGCTTACCTTAATGGGCAACGGATCACGGTGGGTACCTGAGACATGAACAGGAAGAGGACTCACGAACCTCATTCCAACCGAGCCTTCGCCAACGGAACATGTGAGATGCGTACGTACTTTACACGGTACCCCTGGGGCCGTGGAACTACTCTATGCACATTCCAAATCCGGATAAAGCAGACGGAGTGACTGTGAGACATTCCTTCCGTCTCTGTCCCTCACTAGCACTAGTTAGTAGCATCTAGTTCGTAGTATCTGGTATTCCCTCCCATGAGCTTTCTCATGGGAGGACTAGTTATCGCACCCCTTCCTCGCTAGTTGATGCCGCAGGCACTTGCTAAGATGGGATAGTCTGGGGATGATTAGGGGAGTATCATCTCGGACAAGGCCTTCCGTACTCTTTCTCTCCTGCAAAGCGTATTGTCTCTTCGTTTTAAGAGAGGGAACACGGTTCTATTCTTGACAATCGTTTTTTCTTTCCTTCGCAGGGCCCTCCGCACTTTCTTACCATCACCATGAAGTTGCCTCTTTTTCTGATTCTCACTGTCTGTGTGTCGAAAGCAGTCGCTTTCGGTCTCTATGGCTGCTACGAGCGACTCCTGTACTGGCAGGCTTACCAGATGGACAGCGGATCCAAGAAGAAACGGATCGCGCCGGCCTGCTCCCGAGATGCAAAGACCGCTCAGGTCGTCGGGCCCGTCACTGGAGGGCGCTGCAACCTCCGTCAATTCCTTTATTACATCACGGAAAACGAGGTGGAAAAGGGAATCATCGCAGACAAGAACAAACTCAAGGACGCGGACCTGGAGAAAGAAAAATCCGCTCTGGATGAGGTGGCTTCAGCGATGTACAAGGCTAAGGTTGGGAGGACTTACAACCCGGGGCGGATCTATCAGGGTCTGGAGGCGAATTCAGGCATTCATGAACTTATTGGGAACATTGCCGCGTAAGTTTCTCGTCTGTCACATGCCCTTTCCACTGCAACATTCAACTTTGGAGTGCTGAACGCAAGTAACAGGTTCATTGAGCAGAAAGGCTGGTTAGAAGAGGAAAACGGAAAGCCGAGCCAAACATTATTTGATCAGGCCGAAAAGGCCCGCAGCAGAGTTGAATTCGGGCGAAAGGCCAGCGGCGCCCGGGATGTAGGAGCCGAGATTCGGAAACGCTACGATCGAGAGGTTTGGGACAAGCAGCCAAAGAATAAGAACGGCGAGATCGACAAGGAAGCCCCGCTGGTCGACGAGGGGCTGGTCAAGGAGAAATTGGCGATTCCTGAGGGAGGGGTTGAGGGATGGCCTACTTGCGACCTGGAAGTTGCCAAAAACTCGGTCAATGCCGCAGAGGCCGCCGCGGGCAGGGGACCAATGAAGTTGAATAAGGATTTCATCGGCCCTTGGAGAGATAGGGAGACAGCGCACGTGTTGAACATTGACGCAGCGAAAGACGCAAAGCTCAAAATCAACAGTTGTTCGGCATGAAGGGAAGGAGAGTCCTGTACTGTAGGGGTTCTGAGGCGGCCATTCCCCTGTCATGCTCTGCCATTATTACTTGCAGCATAACACGCATTACATTCCAAATGACCCGGCCTTATCAGATCTATGCTTCTTTTTTCACCGGAAGGAATCAAATCTGTTTGCCCAGTTTGGCAATTGTTGTGTAGATTAAACCGTATCCTGAAGCATACCACCGAGCCCAGAACATCCAGTTTTGGACTGCCAGGTCATGTACGTAGTTTCCCACAGAACCAACTTAGATTAGAATCAGATATGAACCGCTACAGTCCGCTACCTGTACAATATTCCCTTGGTATTCAAGAAGAGCCATCAAAGCTTTCGATAGCTCTAGCCAACAATCTATTGTCAATACGGCCTAGGGGAGTATCATCGGTATGTTTGATTGTTGGCGGAAAGCCTGGTAAATCGCCTGGGTACGGGAATCTAAGTGCTCGACCAGAAGACCATAAGTTCGGTATCAGATGGTGTTAACGGGTGAAACCCGTTCTAGCGAGTCGGAAGGTCAAACTGCATTCCATCATGGTCTACGTAAAAGACCGTAGTGATGGAATGCTTCATGGACTGAAGATGCTGAGGACCGGGCAATTGTCCGGCCAAGGTTTTGAAAGTATCAGGCAGATGTCCACACATGTTCTAAGAGGCAGAGGTAGCGATTGGGTGCTCGTATTAGTTGCCTGGCGGAAACGATTCGCCTTCAATCTCATGAGGCCTGCTCGTGTGTGAGGATTTGACCATTGGCGATCTCACATTCACCTCCCAAGCTTATCGGTGGTGCGCGTTCTGAGTCAGTTGACTCAGAATTCTGGTTTTTGCCGAATAGCCGATCGGTAGGAATCCGGAGGCTTCACTGCCTGAAGCGGACTAGGACCCGACTCTGACATCGGGTCGCCCAAAGATCCGCTGAAGCTAATTCCATGGTGTGGAAGCAATTTGAACAGCCTTTTCGAGGGCGTCGCGGTGAAACCTTCTCACATTAGACCCCACAGGACGATCATTGATCATCTTCGAGGTTGCGCTGGGCTTATCTACAAGTCTTTCGAAGGCCCCATTGTCTATACGTAGTACTGAATGCCGCAACCCCATTCCCTCTGCATTCGAATAGCCTGACCCTCGAGTCACACTGGTTTGTGATGGCCTTCAACCCGACTTGAGAACATGGACCATGTGCCGCACCATTTGTCTGTCGGTCTTGACTCCGTGGCTTACTTTGGATTATGGTGGAACAAAAACCCCATGTGACATTCGGCACCTGACGGCAGTGGCAGTTCTTCTTGTACCGCATCTGCCGGGTTTTTCCTCGTTTTTTCAGCCTTTCCCATCGTGACTTAGAATCGAGGGACGATGTCAGCTTCAATTACCCAGCTTGAAATACCCCATTTGGCACTCAGAGGAGAACAATACTTCCAGTCTCTGCCGGCTTTCCTGGCAGTTCCAGTAGCGGCGGTTGACTGACGGGGCGAGGTGCTTGGGGTCGCCTCAAACTCAGATCGGTCGCATGTAGGGGTTTGATTAAGATTTTCATGGGCCTAAGACGCCGTTCATCCTTCGTCTTGGTAGCGAGTTTCATAGCTGAGTGCGTTGCACTTGTGGAGTAGTGGTGTGCCCTTTGTGTTTCCTAGTCCAGCCCAGTCCCTGAAAAGGAAAACCTCGCAGTGGAGCAAGACCCCTAAACTATCATTCTCCGTAGTTACTCCGTAGTTCTTTGTATCTTGTTCGATCAGCACATCTTGTTGGTCCTGCCGGGTTTACGGGGTTAGCCCCGGCCCCACTTGCACTGATACGATCAGCCCGTACCGTTCGCGGTAATGGGTGGTTTTATTTACAGGATGGGAGATGCCCGCCATTTGCCAGTCCAACAGGCTTCTTGCGCTTCTCTCCCAACAACTCCTTATTCCCCGCCTCTACTTATTTCCAAACACCATGGATCTGCTATTTGATTTGTCCCCAGACGAGCAGGAAGAAGAAGATAAACTGAGAGTCGGGAAATACGACGAAGAAGATTGCAAAGCTGCCATCCAGGGGATCGGAATTCCAAAGACTTTCGACGAGGAGGTTCATCGACTGAGCACCATTCGCGGCATACGCCATCACTATGGCTTCGCCCAGGAGCTTCGGGGGACCATGCCGGAATTTACGCGTGCCTTGAACGCCCGGGATATTATGAGTGGTGTAATCCCGACCATGGCGTCGCCTGAGGAGGTGCCTTACTGTATCTGGTATCCAGATGTCCCGGCGGAGGAGACTCTGCGGGCTTTGGTGCGGCGATACCCGGACATGCTGTATCATGTCGCTCGGGCTTGTGCGGTTGCAGGTTACGCTACTTTGTACATGGAGCTTGATCCGGTTCCAGAGGTTCATATTGCCGAAGAGGCTGGCTACGCCAGCATGCAGAGGGGCAGCAGCGGCAGTCAACAGATCTATCAGCATATTATGTCTCAACGTGTGAAGTTTGAGATCATGAACGACTATACACGGACAGTCAACATCAATGCGCGTCAAATTGCATCTCTAAATGGGGATACTGCTGTATACGCGAGTCTTACTGCCAGAACCAAGGTCTATGGGCCGCGCGATTTCAAAAGTGATCCCCCGCCATGGAATGAATTCTGTCGCGATCCCCCTTACTTCAATATTACGGAAGACTGGGGCATAGATGACCATGACGACAAAGCCCCGGAGGCACCAGAGGATTATCTCCCATTAGTGTATAACCCTCTTCCTACAGACCTCCCCTTCATCAACAAGGACAAACTCATTTATGTTGCCGCATACAATGGAGAAATCGATCGTTACGCACGGCTGCGACGACCGCACATGCTTAAACATGAATGGGCCATGGTTGTACATGGTATCTACCACAATCCGATCTTTGCCAAGTGGTGGAGTACGCAGATCCCTGAGCACCCGCAAGATAAGCATGAGATTAATATTCGGCGCGCGATCAACGCCCGCCGGATCATGTCCAATGATCTGTCTTGGCTCACTCCCAATACTCCTGGAAAGCTATTGCCAGACCTCATCTGGTTTCCAAAAGTCGCCGACGTGACGACTTATGAGAAGCTCGCTCACAGGAGACCAGATATGTTTGAAGAATGTCTACGGGCCTGCATAGTGGCCGGGTATACCTATACGTGGGATGCTCTGCTGCGCGCTGCACCTGAACTCTTCAAGGAACAGTTCGCCCACGACTCCAGCAAGCGCGGTCCCAAACTAGAAGACCCCAAGCTGTGGTGGCTGACCAAACATGCTCGCCACGGGCTGTGGATGGAAGCCACCGCCTCCCCGAACAAGCACTTTCAAACCGACATTTTAGCAGCCGTACCTGACGCTGCTGAGAAGCTGGACGTAGCTCACCCCAATAGCGACTGGTGGGGCGATTATTTCGTGGCGAGTGAGCTTTACCTCCCACATCGGTCTCCGATCATCCGGCTGCATGACCCGGTCCAACCTGGGGCGCGTGACGAAGGTCCTTATGACGGAATGAATTGTGGCATTGGCGATGTCGACATTGCTTTGTTTCTCGGTGATGCCATCTCAATGGAGACCTGGAAAAGAGAAGTATTGGATGAAGGATTCACAACGGCCTATCTCGAGGATGTGTGGGACATGTTAGACACGAAGCAAAGTGATTAGTTGCTAAGCCGGGTAAAAATATACAGGTCAACAATATAAATCTACCGTGCACATGTTGAGAACCTCCCTTGTACAAGTCTTGTTTGTTTCGTTGTTTGTTCCATTCTTTACTCTGTTTTGGCGCCCTGCGGACCACGCTGGAGGTCCTAAAGCTCCTAACAATTCGCATAACCGCCTACTGACCTTTTAGCTAAGTTGAAGACCATTGTCCTCATACTCAATAGGATTAGATGAGTAGTTTTGGAATCTACTTCTAAAAGAGCTTTAGGTATAAATCCTCCGGAAGCGATACTGCTCGCCTATCCGGTGGAACACTAGGATTCTGAGTTTGATGACTCAAATAATAGGTGCATATAAGATCGTCAGTATGCCCACAGTTAGAAACACTTGGCTGGTGCGGTGGTAGCGCTTTCCTTATTCAATTGCGAGCATCAGGGCTAGAACCTGAGTCACAGTGCGTCAGACTCAATCAGAAACGAGTTCTAGACCAAGTCTGACTCGTCTAAATGGCATGCATTTGGCTCTATGTAATACAGCCCTGCTAGGTCTGAAAAATCAATACTGGAGTTGGAAATAGCGGTGTTGTTGCTGCATCTGATGGCGAGCTTCGACTCGGCTCACGTGATGTTGATTGTCTGGTTTATTCTCGCCGATCGCTTATCTGACTTCTCTCCCCATGTTAGTTCGGTCTGGCAAACGATATGTCGCTGGCTGATCAGCAGACGGAGTAACTCAATTATTTTATCACTATTGAGCCAAATAACGCCAATACAATTAGATGTTTCAACGGCCGCGATACTAAAAGTCACGTGGATGTCACCGTAGGCAAAGATATATATTTAAGTCTCATATTGCACTAGGAGATATCACCATAACATATCAGGACTGAGACAAGATTGAACGATTGAACAAAGCACCGCAGAAAGAAAGTATTGGGGAGAGATTCTACTGTACCACCGAGCCAGATATTGCTTGTCAGAAACCAGGGTCACTGAGAATGTCAAACATGGAAGCCCGGGACGTGTTAGGGAACGTACGGAGCTCAGGTCCGAATCGCTTTGATGATTCATATATGAATCGAGCCCTATGTAGCTTCTCCCTTGGCGTCTAAAGCCACAGTAGCGCTACTTGGACGCTGGTATTCGTATATAAGGAACCATTAGATAGAGAACTATGCATTCGTGCCCATCGTGTTGCTTTTATGGGCTCCCTGTGAGGATGTGGACTATACAACAGGTTGACTCCGCTGCCTTCGAACCCGTGCTTCAGACAAGGCCAATAGAAGAACTCGAAGATTCAGAGGATCTGGAAACTGTCTCCGTGGGGACAGGGTGAAAGGTGCATTCAACAGCTGAACTCTTAATCATTGGTTGCTAGGCATCTCCCCCAGTGGCTGTATACTGAATAATGATAACATCGATACCCAAGTATCCTAACAGCCAACAGGCAACAACGTATGCCTTAGGGCGCGACGATGTGAGCATCCTCAATCATGGTTACTTGGGCTTTCTCCTTCCCCTTCATGTCTCCAGGCAACACCATCATATCCCCGAACAGCTCGTCCATCTGCTCGAGGGTCTTACCCTTGGTCTCAGGGAAGAAGAAGATATAGCAGATCATGGCGATGAGGTTAAATACGAAGAACACGTAAAAGTAACGGAAGCCAATGTTGGATAGCGCTGTAGGCGAGAATTGCGCGAACACCAGATTGACGGTCCAATTGGTGAAAGTGGTGATGGAATTGCCTTGGTTCCGAATATCCACGGGGAAGATCTCCGCCGGGTAGACCCAGGAGATGATACCAGGGGATGTATAAAACAGGCTGAAGACAAAGTTCATTGCGACCATTGCCCGTAGCTGATTGGTGTTCGTCTCGGTATAATGCTGGGACATGGCCGCATTGCACACCAGTGCTGCTGCCATACCCGCTGCTGAAACGATCAGGGGTCGGATGCGACCCACCCGCTCCAGGGCCCAGAGTCCGATGGTGCAATAGACGATCGATAGACCGCCGGAGATACCAATGATCATCAACGTTGTGCGCGTTTCGATACCCAGTGAGCTGTAGATACGCGTTCCATAATAGTTGATGACATTGATCCCTGACAATGGACCAAAGGCCTGTACACTGCAGCCGAGAATGAGGCGGCGGCGCCAGGAGCGTTTAGTGAGGATGGAAGTCCAAGTAATGGTGTTCTGTGCACGCTCTGCCTCAATGGTATCCCGGATCTCCTGATACTCGAGCTCGATGTACTGCGACTTTTCAGGGGTGCCATCACCATGTAGGCGGTGCAGTGTGGCTAATGCCTCTTCGTGGCGGTCTTGTTCCATCTGCCAGCGAGGTGATTCCTGGAGAAACCAAACACCGGCCATGAGAACAAGGCCAGGGACGCATTGAAATGCAAGTGGGAAGCGCCCTGTGAATGTAAGTCAGACTCTTGGTACAAATGCCGCACGGACATTCTGAAATCTGGATTGAACATACATTGGAAATCGGTATTGTTGAACGAACACCCGTACCCCAGCCACTGCGCAACGAGAGATCCCCAACTTAACATCCACTGCAACAGACCCGACATCATTCCGCGGGATGCAGCTTCGGCCATCTCGCCGGCGTACATGGGAACGGTGGCGGTCAGCATTCCCACGGCTACACCCGCAATGAACCGACCTATGATGAGCATGGTCATGTTGATCGCGCCGCCCTGCAGGGCACAGCCTACAATGGAGATGCAGGCACCGGCAAAGACGGACATTTTCCGTCCCAATCTATCGCCGGTGAAGATGTTAATGATGGTTCCTAGAATGGCACCGCCTTGAAAGGCAGATACTACACCTCCCGTCACCGTATCATTTGGGTTGTTAAAGTATTTGATAAACTCGGTTTGGCCGATCGTCGACGTAATGATACCACTGTCATATCCGAAAAGGAAGCCTATTCGTCCTCGACCAGAGTCATTAATATATGTTTATCAGCGCATCAAAGAACGATGGGAAAAAAAGAGTGACTACCTCCAATGGCCAAAAAGACAGCGGACAGTAAAGTTGATAGCTTGGCAATGTTAGTCGGAATGTCGGAAGGTCGCTCTTCAAATTCTTCAAAATTCCGACTAAAAGGTTGGTTGCACTGTCGAGCTATATACAAGGGATAACGCTATTGTCCGTTACATTGGCGCGTGACTCAGTGAGTATCCCTGGTCAACTCCAGCACAAAAGGCGGAGTTGTTGTATAGCCTGAAGCATGTCTTCATTGCCGCCGTAACGAACCGAAATCACAGATCCTGGGGTAAACGTGGAGATGGCTTCGGGAGGCTCTGACCCGAAAATGTCCCCAAGGAAACACAACAAAGACTATTAATACCGAAGTTGAGTCTGGCCAGCTCGTATTCATCATAATAGGCGCAATAACCTCTGGCCCATCCGGGGTGGTGAGCCCTAAGCGCGACGTGCCAGTTCAAACCCGGTTAAGCCGCCAGCTAAGGCCACAGACAAATCACCATGGACCTCGGATATCCCGAGCCCCAGCATGTTAACGGCTACACACTTATGTCCCGGATTGGTAGGCTTTTCCGGAGCCTTTGACTTGAACCTTATCTACTTTCATCTCCAGCCTATGGTGCGATGAGCTGGCTCGGTCATCATCCTACCGAGACAGCACGCGTCGAGCCATCTATCGTACGATCTTGCCATTTTAGAGATTGGTCACATTGCCTTAACCAATCCCAGCTTTCATTATCACTAGCATTCAATGATGGAGTACATGCCGTGGCTTAGGGTGACTTCCTTTCCCTTCACTGGCCGACTGTCTTCTCCATCCCGGAAACAGGTTGTAGACTTGCCGCTGCGGGGAAGCTTAACAATCGCGGTGGTACCAAATGGCACACGCACAGTCACAGTGGTCTGACTCTGCTTGTTGCGTCTAAACTCAATAGTAATCGTCCCGTAGGGACAGTCCACGCTGCCCTTGACATGATCGAATTCGGCATTGTAAGGCGGGTCTACCACGAAAGTACGATATGCCGGTCCCGTAGGCTTTAGACCCAAGACCGCTGCGTAGAACCATTCATAAATGGTTCCTAGCATGTCGTGGCATTTGCTACGGCACTCGTCTTGCCAGAATTCCAACAGCGTTGTTTCTCCACGCCGCAGAAACCGCATATAAGACGGGTGCTCTTCTTGACGGGCCATCTGCAACACCAAATCTGGTCGCTTTGCGTCAGCCAGGGTATTGAATAAGAACCGCAGCCCAATCTCTCCGGCGCGGATGCGCCCATCTGCTACATCATCCAAAAAGGCAGCCATCACATCCTTGCGATACTGTTCAGGGACCAGTCCAAATTGCAAAGCCATGGCTTGGGCGACTGCATCTCGGTCGCGGGTCGGGTAGTTGTCTAGTGAGGTATAGTAGGCGTACGGCCGAGACGCGTCGTCGGTGACGAGCAAGTGACGGTTGTACACGGCGTAGACCCGAGCGGCCCACTGTTCGAATTCTTCTGCCTTTTGCATTTCTCCCAGTTCACGAGCCATCATGGCGACGCACTGTAGGCACCGGTAGTATATCGCGGTTTCGATATTAGCTTGATTATTGCCAAAGGCAATTCCACGGCCCCAATCCCCAAGTCCATGTTCGATTAATCCGCCTCGGCGCTCTTTGCTGCGCATGTATTCCATGTACCGCACTGCCGCGGGGAACACCTTGGCGACGACATGTGTCGAACCGTAGTACTCTCTCAAAATGTCGGGCAGAAGACATATGGCACAACCCCAGGTGATAGTATCATGCAGCGGACCGCACATGTATCGGATCTCGGGCGCCATGGTGGGGACCAGCCCACTGGGCTCTTGAGCGTCCATGATATCGTCAAGGATCTTCGTATACAGAGCTTCCATATCGCGAATGTACTGCGTGGCTGGCGCCAGCAGATGCGTGACCTCCAGCCAGCCGAACTTTTCAATTTGGGGACAGTCAGTGTGGTAACTGAACAGATTGCTGCTGAAGG